GAGCAAATACCGAGCAATACCTAGCAATACGCGAACATAGCAATCTCGGCTCCGTTCCGGGTCGGGGTTGTCGGGCCGCACGGCTAATAGTGAGAACACTTGACACTATTTTACTGGCGTCCGAACGTAGAGCTACGTCAGGTGATCGGACCAAATAAAAGTTCCAATGTATGGGTCGGGATGGAAAGAAATTTTGATATGAAAGTATTGCTGTCATTATTTTATATATAAATATTAAATATTTCTGTTATAAATATAATTAAATTGGAAGAGGTTCTGATCTCTATGTAATTTATGAATGTTTATTTATGTACATAGATATTTCAAAAAGTGGTCTAAGCCTGATGAACTAATTAAGGAGCTTCGTAATTTAGTAAATCTTTGAAGTTATGACTTTAAAAGACTAATATTTAATTTTGCTTTACGCCCATCAACTTTAAATTTATATTGGATTTTTTTTTAATGATTCTGTATTGCAACATAATAGAAATTTTCTAATTTTATTCTTGTTGGAAAGGGGAGATTATTCATCTTTGATTTTAATGAATTCCTGCAAACAATTAATGGCAATATAGAGCATCACATTTTTTTATAAAGAATGAAGCTCTATTTATAAATTTTTTGAGATTGATATTTTGATAAATTTGACCATAATAAAAAAACATTTATCATCGGGTCCATATTGATCCATTTGATCATAAATTATTTATCAACATATGACTGCCTTAATTATGTTAGAATCCAGTGAATTTAGGCTCATTAGATTCGTCTCGTTGAGTTGCTCGATTTAATCATAAGCATGCTATAATTGGATATCATTTGGTTTATTAATTAATGTTCATAAAATTTTAAAACATAATTCAAGTGCTTGATTTGAGCTCATTTGAAGTCAGATTGGATCATTTGTAGTGTTGATAGATTTCTTTCGTTGAGACGGTCAATTCGACTATAAATTTGCTAAGATGAAAGTTCAAAATTCAAATGATCCTGAATTTTATTGTCACTAGATTCATGCATATCATATGAATTTTCTTAGAGTAGTATCCATAAATTTAAAAAAAAAATCATATTTAACCACTTTAAAAATGGATGCTTATTGTTGCGGACTCGAATATACGTGGCAGTAGAGTCATGATTTTACATATCAGTGTTGTACGAATATCCAGCACACAAACTGAGAAAACATAATCTTTTATGTGGCAAATCCTTAAAAAGGAAAAAAAAAAACACGGGGCAAGGTCGAGTTGAAATGATTCACGAGTGTTTGAGGAGATTACAGTTGCCTGAATCGTCCTTTAGGACAATCATATTACAATAATCAATCGTCTAGTTGAAATCTAGTGACAAACAGAGGTCAGACATGGGTTCGCCGACGTTTGGTTGGGTGGAAGCCTTGCGCCAGTTGGTGGTTCGGCAGAAGTTCGGCATCAGACAGTGGTTCAGCGGAAGTCTGAGCATCAGTTGGTGGTCAGGTGGAAGTTCGGCGTCAGGCGGTGGTCCGGCAGAAATCCCGGCGATGGTCGAGGAGGAACTAAGTGGCAAAAGCGATCTCCGATCTCTCTTCTTGCTTCCTTGCTTGGGGTCCCTTTTCATGAGAAGTGATGGATCTATTTATAGATTTTTTAGAGTGGCTTGATCATTAAATAGGAGGAAGATCATGGATAAATTATGATTGGCTTGAATGGATGACCAATGTTGATTCCCTTGATCATGGATCGCTTACTAGACATTTGAATGTCTTAATCTTAAAGTGCTGATTTTGCTCCAGGATCGTCCAGGACGATCTGGGATCGTCCTGGGACGATCAGTTGAGGATTTGCTCCAGAATGTGTCCAGATTGCTCCAGGTGATTTTCCTGTAGGTATCGGCCGGGCCGATAGGGACATCGTCCAGGCCGATCGGTTCAGTGCATGATTTCGTCCTGAGAATCGCCCTGTGAACCGTCCAGGACGATGGATTTTGTTCAGATCGTCCCAGGACGATATTGCGATCGGCCGGGCCGATCTGTGTATTATAAAGCTGAAATCAGTCATTTTGAAGAGAGAGAAAATCAAAAAATTAAACTATTGGTTTTATGAGGAGAGAGAAAGTCGTAGAAAACTTTTGGAAAAGCTTGATTTTCGAGCGACGCGGCTCTGTTTTCGATCCGACGAGGACTGTTGAGGAAAATTACTGTTACGCAAGGTAAGGCACATTCCGCCTTTCTCAATTTTCAGAACCGTCGTGTTTGGCGGTATTTTCTGTCCGGAATTGATTTTTATTCGTGATTTTCGTCCGTATTTTCCGATTGGTTCAGTTTTTACCGCGTAACTTTATGTATGTTGTTGACGTGCCGAGTGTGCACATTTTGATTATTTTCTAGAGATTTTTGTCCGGGTAGTTTTGATTCGACGGTGTTTTTCGTCGACTGGATTTTTCTGTGTAATCTAAAATTTGCTGAGCAGTAGAATTAAAGTCTTATAATGTT